TTGAGGTCAAGTGAGTCACGTGAGTCGAACCTCATTTATTGACGCCATTATTAAATATATCCAACTTTTTAATATAACAATTTCACACCGCTGTGTTAGCTGTATGATAATCCGATACCATCCACTGGGCAGTGATCCTCATTTTTCAATGTGACAGTGGAACTTCGCGCTCAAGTAACATATGTCATGGGTATTTCTGTTGAGCTTGGGTATTATAAGAGGTTCTGTGTCTATTGGCTTAATTGTGGCAGCTGCACTTCTTTTATAGGGTTTCTGCATAACAGAGTGAGGGATACAACCCCTAGTGTACAGTACACAACCATGTGCACTAAAAGAACTCACGAATCCGTTGGTAAATGACCACATGGTAGCCACATGATATACGAGGGTCGGTCAAAATGTAGTCGGCCTAACTATATTCTCGATGTCCAATGTTTGAAATTTTTGTTTGTAAGAATCATAAGCAAAGGCGTATAAAAAATTTCACATGTTTGGGTAATTTGATAAACGAGATATTAGTCATCACAACACATTGGGGTATAATATTTCTAGAAAAAATGCAGAAAACGATCCGTCATTTAGTACCTCTTGGATAATGTCATATCATATAAAATATGTTAGTATAGTATTAGATGACTTCCCGTCATAATCAAGAGTCAAAGCTTTGGATTGCTTGATTCATATATAGTCGGGGGCTGTTTCTTTTAAGGACGCCCCCATTTTAGTCTTTCAAAACCACTGTGTCCTGATATTCAAGCTGGCCCTGTTTACAATATACTGAGAGTTGACACTTGTGTGACCATTTAGTATTTACTTTGAACCTTAAGCATCATGTGTGAAAAAGTGAAAACATTGGAATAAGTTATGTCCTTATGATTTCGTCGTCTGAAAGGGGGTGGGTAGTGTCTCCAAAACAAGCTGTTTCAGTAAACATGAAGGGGGAATCACTTTAACAAGCGATTGTACTTTCAAATTGCTTTTTTATGCACTTTAATATCTAAGTTTGATTCTAGCGGACGTCTACCTATCTCAAACACACAAAATGTTTCTTGCATATTTTGTTACCTGAAGTTTGTGGTGCATTTATTGCAGATTTTGCGCTTTTGAGGGGTACCAAGGTAAAATTTCAAACAAAATGGGGATCGTAAGGCTGGAACGTAGCAAAACCAATTTGCTTGAGGTTGACAGATAATATGTAGAAAAATAAAACATAAAAACAGCTGCATTTGTATCATTTACTAGGTCAGGCCGACTACTTTTTGACTGTCCCTCGTACGTGCAAACACCTAGTTGCGCCAAACCGAATAATGAGTCTCATGAACCAATTCAGACAATGACTTATTTTTCAGCTGATCCGGAATTTTTTCATGTGAAAGTGAAAAGAGACACTACAAACAACTATGGTTATTCGAAATTCCAATTCCTTGTTTCGTAAGAAAATGGTATTTACAAATGAATTTTAATTTTAAACTTTAAAGAAATCGTATTTCTATATTTTATGGCGAGGTTTAGGCAGCATGACGTTAACTAAGGGGTCACAGACTGCCCCTGTTTGATGAGGTCGTAATATGATTCACCATTCATCTGGCTCACTGGTTACACCTGTTATGTGTTCTTTGTGTGCAGACTCTTTCCGTGTTGTCACAACCCCTAGTGCACAGTACACAACCCTGTGCACCTAAAAGAACCCACGAATCCGTTAGTAACTAACCAGACGGTGGCCACATGAATACGTGCGAACACCTAGTTGCGGGTACAGCTACGTGCAGTAAACTTGGACAAAGTGCTGTGACTATGTGTCCCAGTCCACCCAGCTGTGAATGGGTACCTCGTAAGGATGGGAAAGCCACTTTTAACTTGGTGCGCTTAATGTCTTGCAAGAGTTGTATGATCCCCAGGGAGTTGAGACTGAAAGTACGATGTGCCGTTGAGATTGACATCCAATGACCGAGGGAAAAACAAAGCGTCTTTGAGCAGCTGAGCTGGATATTGGCGCTATACAAATATTAGTATGTATGTATGTATGTATGTATGTATGTATGTATGTATGTATGTATGTATGTATGTATGTATGTATGTATGTATGTATGTATGTATGTATGTATGTATGTATGTATGTATGTATGTATGTATGTATGTATGTATGTATGTATGTAATGTAATGTATGTAATGTATGTAATGTATGTGTAATGTAGCAGCTGAGCAGGATATTGGCGCTATACAAATATTAGTATGTATGTATGTATGTATGTATGTATGTATGTATGTATGTATGTATGTATGTATGTATGTATGTATGTATGTATGTATGTATGTATGTATGTATGTATGTATGTATGTATGTATGTATGTATGTATGTATGTATGTATGTGCGTGCGTGCGTTCGTGTGTGTGTGTGTGTGTGTGCATGTTTTTATGTATCATAAACCCAGCTTTAAATATCAAAATCGACAGAACCACTTACATTTCTACATAGATTGCCAATAATTTACAATGGCTGTGGAACTAAAAACTGTGTGAGTGAGTGAATTGGGTTTTACAGCGCCTTATTCCAGCATAATCACGGCCGGGGGCATCAGAAATGTTCTTGAAACTGAGGAATAGAACCCAGACCCTTCGAAACTAAGTAAGAATAGGCAGCGTGTTGATAGTGACTTGTCGATGAGACATCTCAAACATTTTATGGATCAAGTTGAGAGGCCGAGTGTGACACAACCTCCAACCCAGTCCTCAATTCTCAAGGGTGGTTATGTTAGCGACCCTACGTTTTCATTTAGGGGTGGATGGGGTGGAGTATATCCCGTGAGTGAAGTTAGTTTTACGCCGCTTTTGTACCCATGTATGAATCAAGTCAGCGAACCTGACCACCCTATCCCGCCAAGCGCATCTGACGACAAGCATGGGTTGCTGAAGACCAATTCTAACTCGGATCTTCAGATTCTCGGCGAGGAGTGGGTTTACAACACTAGTAAGCTTTGATAGGAAATAAGTTCCACACAGGGGAATATCTTTTAAAGGTACTTCCAACTCCTTGATAATGCCTTCAGTAATGTCTTTTGACAAAACATCGCAAAGATATAAAACATACAAAGAAATAGTAGTCTGTGATGATGAAGTCCAATGAATCGATTGCAGCAGCATGCACTCTCATTTACAAAAAGCTATTAAGTGCGACAGCCAGTCTATTTAAGTCTATAAATTGAATATTGACCATGGCGAGTTAGATCGTGAACGCTTCTGTCCCGAAGAGCGCATTTGAGCAGCTGAGCTGGATATTGTCGCTATTAAAATATTAGTAATTATGTATGGATGTATGTATCAGTATATTGATCAGGCGGTCTCCATACAAAAGATGTGTACACGCATGCAGGTAATAATAGAGTAACAATTCTATCAAGTAACTATACGATATAATCGATTCACGACAGTGCGACCGGTTTTGGGAAGTGGCAGCTGTAGTGAGTGAGCGAGTTGAGTTTTACGCAGCACTCAGCAAATTTCCAGCCATATTCGTCTGTCTGTTAATATTCGAGTCTTGTCCAGTCAATCCAGTGATCAACAACATGAGCATCGATCTGCGCAATTGGGAACCGATGACATGTGTCAACCAAGTCAGCGAGCCTGACCACCCGATCCCATTAGTCGCCTTTTACGACAAGCATGGATTACTGAAGATTCATTCTAACCCGGATCTTGACGGGTCAGTGGCAGTTGTAAGCAGGGGCGTTAGTAAGCATGTGCATGTTCAGTTTTCCGATAGATATAACGTAGGGAACATCAGTGCATTCTCTGTAAAGTCACAGTTAACCCTTGTGTCCACCGGCGGCGGGGTAGCACAGTTGTTAAAGCGTTTGTTTTATCACGCCGAAGACCCGGGTTCGATTCCCCACATGGGTACAATGCGTGAAGCCCTTTTCTGAAGCCCCAACTGCCGTGATATTGTAGGAACATTGCTAAAAGCGGCGTTAAACTAAACTTACTCATCTCGTATTGTTCATTCGTGCAGCAGATTTTAACCGTTCCATTCGTTTTTACCTTCATTTATATACGACCGCCATATAGCAGGAATATTGCTGAGTTCTAAAAACTAAACTCACTGACTTTTATACGGCTTCTTTAACAAATTTTATGTTAGAAACGAACAAAATACATTTCATACGATAACAAAATGTACAAACGGGTATGTGTAAGAAAACTGCCTGGTAAGGGAAGAATATATTAAATAAACCGAAACATCTGAGTCTCATTAACCTATTCAGACAATGACCTACTTTTCAGCCGATCCGAATTTTCTCGTGTGAAAGTGAAAATAGACATCACAAACAAGTATGGTTACACTGAATTCCAATTCCTTGTCTCATAAGAAAATGGTATTTACAAATGAATTTTAAGTTTAAACTTTAATACCATAGTATTTCTATATTTTGTGGTGAGGTTTAGGCAGCATGACCTTAACTGAGACGTCACAGACTGCCCCTGTTTGATGAGGTACCTAAAATGATTCACAATGCATCTGGCTCACTGGTTACACCTGTTATGTGTTTTTTGCGCTTATTCCGCGTAGTTCTGTAACGCACAATGTGATTGATGTAATATCAAGTCCGTACCAGACCGCCAAACCTTTCTAGCGGGAGAGCCTCGTTTTGAGATTTCCACGATTTCCAGGTTTCTGTTTGTCAGAGCTCGCTGTACGACAGAGCATGCTGCACTACGTGTTTGCAAGGATTAGAAGGAGTGTAGCGTTGCAATATATAAGAGCTTAGATGTATCAAATAAAACTGATTAATAATTATGTATCCAGTTAAATGAACTGGTCCCAACATTCTGGATTGGTTATTGTACTAAGTTGCGCAATAGGACGGGACCCAGTGAACAGGGGAAAAAAGACTGTTGTGTAATCAATGTTTTGACTTGCTCTGAGTAATGTAAAAATGACTGCCCTCATCAGGTTAAACATTCGAGTAATGACGAGGTGTCTCTACGATGTTGCTGGCAGCTTTAAGAGTTGTAAAGGTACTGGAGGTAGAACCTCGTTCCTGATAGCCTCTCTTTGTAGACGTTGTAGTAGTCGTCCAGCATGCGGTCGTTGAAGTAGTTCCGGTAGTCCCCAGAAACACCTGAAATATTTCATATAAATATATACAGTCGTTGGTGGTATGTTCGTGAACACTTGCTACAACCAAAATGCATTTTCGGATTTCAAGACCCGTGCCTCTTTGGAAATAAAATAGAATGAATGTTGATACCTTTTTACATTAATTTGAAATGCGTTGAGGCTCTGTGGGGATCAACCATCTTAACAATTAAACATTGGATGTTCGCTGGATCATACAGTGTCCGCTGAAAACACACATCATAAACGTTACTCGTGTATGATGGGGGCGCGCATTTCGTGAAACAGACACAACAGTGAAATCAATGCTATTACAGTGTGTTCACCTTTTCTGTAATGAATATCTTTGCTCCCAAACTTCATTGAAAATTTGTCCTTGTCCACTTTCATTTTTGAGAAGTGACATTTCTCGGCAATGTCACGACACAAGTCGTCGTTTCTTTCAAGTTCAAGAAAATCCGACAGCTTCTGTACCGCGCCGAAAGGATCCTGTGAGATGAAGCAATTTTAAATTATTTGGCTGAATCATCTGCGTCTTACAAGAATGTTGAAGGTGAGTCTTTCTGCACCTTTTAATCTGAAAGTAGTGTCGTATATTTCAAAGTAACGATCAACAGGCCCAAGGTATCCCAAGGTATATAGGTGTTGGAATCCCTTACCTTCAGCGCCTCCTCGTAGACTTGAATATAAACGGGGATATCAGGGTGGGCTTTGAAGAACACATCGGCATCTCTCCAGTGTTCAAACAGGCCGTTACAGTCAACTGAAGACAGACTCCAAACGTTAGTCAACCTCTCACTTTCAAACCAACACACAAGATGATAATTTGTATATTACCTGAATATATCCAACAATCAGATTCAGTACCATGTTGTGGAATTAAATTATTGTGGCCCGATTGGAACAATATAGACAGGTTAATAAGAAAGTGAGTGACTTTAGTTGTACGCCGTTTTTAGCAATATTCAATCAATATCAGGGCGGAGGTCACCAGAAATGGGCTTCACACATTGTTCCCATTTGGGGAATCAACCGGACGAGCGAACGCTTTAACCACAAGGCTACCCCACCGTTCTATGCTAATATAATGAACTTTTCAATTTAGATAACTACAGGAAACGCTCTGTTCATCCCTCGGATATGGCATCACACAGTACTTACCCTTGCCTTCCAAAAAGAGAGGCAAAAAGTCCTCAAAAGATCCAGTATAACAGGTGTGTTGTCCTTCAAGGTAGGCGTTGTACAGAGACACAGCTACATCTTTGGGGTCGCGGATGTTGTACACGATCTTGCATTTAGCTTCTGTCAGCTCCGATGGTGCGTCGCTCAACTTCATGTGGGTATTGATGACCCTGGGAGAAGGGAGACCACTCAGAACATCACACGTTTCGAACTCAAGCTGGTGCTTACCCTTGAATACTGGGATGGTTTCTGCCTTGCTGTTTAGCAGCATACCTATTACCTCAAATGTCCAGTGTGTCCCTGTAGAAAGAGATGTGATTGTTGTGATCGGTTGTGTATTACCTAAAAACATCGATTCTCCCCTATACATTTTCGACGTATTGTCGAAGTTATACACTGCCGCTCTTTAACAATGAACATTATGTATAGTCTCTATAAAGAGGTCAATAAAATATACAAGTTTGAAAACATGTACCCGTTAAAGGGAATGTCTGGAACCAGGGATTTCACGTAATCCCTAAAAAAAGTCAGTGATGAAATCACTGTGACCCCCAGGGATTTCATACATTCCTTAAGATTTCAAGGGATTTAATGAAATTACTGATTTTCATGGTGTTCAGCTACACACATCTCCTGTTAAGATATCAGTGAATGTGTGAAATTAATGTTTGTAGCTTAAAACAATTTACTGTTGAGTCTCAAGACATCCCTCAGTCTTTAGGAGTTGAAAACTTGACAATTTACTGATGACACTCTTGGCTAATTACTACCGTGAGTCGGGTGCCAAGGTCATTTTCTCTCGGCTTTAAATACGTGTATCTTGAGCTCCTCCTTCATTCGCACCTGTCTACTCTTATTTGGTGAGCAAATAGCGATATTGGACCAACGTTGTTTTAATATGGCTGAGAGCGTAGCAGAGCAGTTCAAGCGACTTCTATTTGATAAATATTTTATCAGTAAGAAGAATTTCATTCCCAGAGACGTGTACTACAATATCGTGGATGATTTGAAGTCGGCAAGCGATAATTCCAGCAAAAACCAGCGCCATTTGTATTATCAACTATCCAAGTACGTACTTTTTGTGAAGGCCTATCGTGCTCAGTGTAGTCAGGCATACAGGATGATCAAGCGCCGCAAAATCAGTTACCAAGGGCAAACGATACCGTGTCCGAGGCGATCCCAAACGTTTGTACCACATCCTTTTTACGAGACGCCGATCATGTGACTGCAAAACTCACGTTCCTGCCCTTTCTTTTGCGGGAAAGTGATTAAATGATGCCCAAACACCGTCGGAATACTTGGTCAGTCCTGAGGAAATCCCGTGGAATTACCTGACCCGAATACATACAGAAGCCCTCTCTTTCCAAAATCTTAGAAAAGGCTGTCAAAACTAGGGTCCTGGACTATCTCAATGCACACATACACTTTGACCAGTTCCAGTCGGCTTATAGAGCAGCACTGAATCTGCCAAATCACCGTGGATAATGGTTACTTGGGAATGCTTGTACTTCTCGATCTGTCCTCGGCATTCGACACCAATGACCACATTCGACACTTTAACCACACGCCTACAACGTGACTGTGGTTTTGACTGAGTGGCCCTGAAATGGTTTCGCTCCTACCTCACCGATAGGTTCTGTACTTGGCTCCATTTTGTTTATCATGTACACAAGACCAATCAGTAATGCCATCTCATCTTCCAATGTCCACTATCACCTCTACGCGGACGACACCCAGTTGTCAGACAAGTGTGGTGTGGACACTACATCTCAGGAACATTGCACCAGAAACCTGGAAACCTGTATACACAACGTGCAATCCTGGATGACAAGCAACAAGCTGATGTTGAACGCGGACAAAACAGAGGCTATGATGAACAGTCCTCCAGTTCGCCTTTGGAAGTTTGGACATAACCACATAACAGTTGATGGATCTGACATTCCCTTTTCATCCTGTCCAAAAGATCTGGGAGTTTATTTCGACACCTCACTCTCCATGGAACAACAAGTGACAGCCAAAGTCAGGAATTGCGACTTCTACATGAGAAACATCAGCAGCATCCGCAACCTTCTCGGTGATTCATCTGCTGCAGCACTAATGAGATCTCTCGTCCTCTCCAGGCTCGACTACTGCAATAGTCTTCTTGCAGGAGCATCTTCAGAGCAGATACATCGCCTACAGAAGATCCAGAATACAGCTGCCAGGATTGTAACCAGGTCGTCAAAGCACTGCCACATCAAAGAGAATCCAGTCCTGACACTTACCTACCAATGTGTCAACGGAACAGCGCCAAGCTATCTTTGTGAATTGCTCAGCGAGTACCATCCTGCCAGAAGACTCAGATCATGTTCGCAACACATTCTAGTCATTCCACGGACAAAAGTGAAAACCTTTGGATGTTGATCATTTTATAACGTATCGGCACAACTGTGGAACGCTCGTCCAATTGAACAATAGACTTTACCATCAGTGACCCAATTCAAACGTTAGCTCAAGACGTTCTTATTCAACTAGCAGTTTGTGTTCCACCTGTGCTACTCTGACATGTAGTTTCCACCCTCCCTGTCGGGCTCCGAACATTCATGTGTATGGAATTAAGCACCATGTAAGCAACCTTATGTTATGATGTATTATTTCTGATTTAGATTGATACTGAACTCATCGTTTTGGCAAACAGCAAGACATATTCAAAAAAAAGTCCGCCCTTCCTACGATACCATCTCAGTGAACAAAACGGAGAATATGATCTGTGTCTTCACTGATAGCTACATACTTAAATTCCGAATTTACCAGCGTAAATATTTCAAATCGTTATGACCACCTAGGTGTCGTATTGGACACTAGCATACACTCATTCGTTTTTATTGAAGAAAGGGGATCCCCCTCAATGTATCCCTTGTCACAGCCACAGGCCCTAGTGTCTTTGCGAGGATCAAAGATTTTAAAAACGTTTTTGAGAAGACAGTATTGTACTGTGAAGAATTTCGAGTCGGGGGTCATCTCAAAAACATTTTTTTAAATCTTTAATCCTCGCAAAGACACGAGGGCCTGTGGTCACAGTCCCTGTGACTCTCAAGCACTTTTTGTTGGAATGTGTGGATGTTTCGCTTATTCGCCGAAGGTTTTACACTGTTCAAACAATTGCTGAACTTTTCAACACCGTTTATAATTTTAGTATAATTGAAGGCAACTAAACTATATGATAACATGTAAATTTTAAATTCTGAATGTCAGTTTCTACTATTTCTTGTGATAATGGACTGAAGATTTAGTGCTCTTCGTCATCACTTTTATTCTATGTTTGTTTCTATGGGAACAAATATATTTTCTATCCGTGAATAGCCTCAATATTGGTGATGTGGCTTAAAGCAACATTTCCCCATTTCTGTATCGCCAACCGTGATATTGCAAGAATATTGCTAAAAGTGGCGTAAAACAAAACTCACTCACTAAAGCAACATTTACCCACTCACTCAAACTCAGCATGTCATCATTCACGCCAATCTTCAAGATGTTATGACTGCTTCTATCAACAATGGCATCACTCCCTCAGCGTTTTCTGAATGTCATCATTCACGCCAATCTTCAAGATTTTATGACTGCTTCTATCAGCAATGGCATCACTCCCTCAGCGTTTTCTGAATTCAGTTATTGTTCTCAGTTTTAATATTTACACAGTGTGGACACATAATTACCCTTCTACCTCAACAAGGGAAAATATTAAACAAGTTTCGGTGTTACAACTTCAGAGGTGCTGTTAAATATGGCCGTCGGACGAAGACTTCATATAGAGAACGGTTCTGAAGATTCCACGAGGGGTGCGAAGTGCTAAGCAAACCAGCTCTGCCTGTAAAATGAGGTATATGTTACTCCAACCGCGTACTACTACTTCATTGTACGCTCTGTAGTTTGCATTATGGAGCAGGGCCTAAAGTACAGAATGAATTCTATCAGTCAACGTCGACGAATCACTATTAAATGTGTTTAATGCTGTCAAGAATCGTTGTAAACAAAACAATGTGAAATCATCATGAGTCAAATGAGATGAGAAGGATACACTTGTTCCAGTTTGGATTTCAATAACTTAGCAAGTCTTCTATGACAAATTACGGTCTCTCGAATTTGTGGGTGTGTTTAGTTTTTCCGTCCCTTTTAGCAATATTCCAGCCATAACGGGGAGGGGGGAATTGGGCTCGTCCTTGTGAAATATCTGTTCCTTGTGCACGAATGATGTAAATGTTTCCTTCCTTGATGGTTACTCTCACGGATGAAACAATAACACTGATTGGGTGGCCAGCCTCGGTGACATGTCATCGTGACCCGACGGCGTGGAACATTCCTCAGAACTTTAATCACTGGATTGTCGGATTAGGATCCTACCAGCCGAAATGGGATGTGGGCGAAATGGGACTCAACCATGCTCACTATATGCTCACTAAATGCTCACTATTTAATAGTGATTCATAAACAAGTTCACGATAAAGGCATTGTCCGATGGATTCTGCTTTCTTATGGACGTGGAAAGGTTTTTTCGCCTTTTTTTATTTGGCAATATACACACAAACTGTATGACTAATTTCGACACAAGCCTTATATCTTGTCCCAACATCATAGACGTTTTTGTTTTGTTCGTTATAAAAGTGGTTTGTAAATCATCGAGTCAGGACCGGACAATCCAGTGATTCACATCATGCACATCGATCTATGCAACTGCGATACGATGACATGTGTCAACCAAGTCAGCGAGTCTAACCACCCGATCCCGTTAGTCACCTGTTACGACAAGCATCGTTGCTGAAGACCAATTCTAACCCGGATGCACACTCTCGCATGTACTCACCAGTTCTGGGAAATGATGGGAAGAAGACGTCTTCTGGTCTCAGTTTGACTGTCTTGATTTGTTTCAATACTCCCGGTTTATACATTGGAGCATAGTAGGTGCCCTCGAACACTTGCATCTTCTTGGAGTTACCTCCCTTGTCGGATATATACACAATGTCCATTTCATCCTCATCCATATCACAGTCCTCATCTCCGATCTGAAATAAACATACATTTTAAAATTAGTAATGTTTTTTGTTGTTCCTGCATCTTGTATCAATAAAGTGTTTCCTTAATCTAATATTTGAGTGATTAAATGAGATTTAAATATGG